GGCTTCTTGATCGGCTTGAGTCGGAGCCGTTTTTTCGACTCGAGTCGCAAGTAGTAATAACTTAACTTTTTAACAACACTACCACCAAGTTAGATTAAGAAAAAAAATGATCTTTGCTGGGATTCGAACCCAAAGCCATCAAATTAGCGATGCTCTTACCGATTAGGATACAGCAGAGTTGTTAAGGTAGCGCGCTAACTTTTTGGTAGCTATAGCTAATAGCGGCTACTTTTTTTGTAATTATTTAATTTTTTAGCGCGCTACTTTTTTTGAAAGTAGCTAAGTTGCCGCTACTTCGCTACTTTTAAAAAATATAATGAAGGTAAGTATAAACATGAAAATTTAAATATATTATCATAATTAATTATAATTTTTTTGATTTATTATTTAATTTTGAAATTGAAATATATTTTCAATTTGTAATTTATATTTTCATTTGTAATATAAACCTAAATCACGTATTAATAATTTAAAATGTCATCGCCTATGGATATCCAAATCTTTGAAAGTGATTCAGAAAATGATATTAATGAAATGGAAAACTCCAGGGAAGAAAATGTTCTTAATAGCTATAACACAAATTTCCCATTCCGTAGATTTGAAAATTTTTTAAAATAAATATATAACCAAAACTGGTTTCAAATTTATTTGTTTAAAATGTAAAAAAATAATATTTCCTCAAATTAATCCAGTAGCTATAACCTCAAGAAACACCTAAAGGTAAATTATCATTTTTACTTTCCAATAATATTTATTTTATAAGACTGTTTATGAGTTTTAAGGAAATGGAGAAACATCTAAATAATTTTGGTATAAGTGACTATCCAAAAAGACTAATTCAATTCACCAAATTAATTAATAATGCAAATGACAATATTTATCAGAAATTGGCTGATAAAGTTATTGTTGATTTTATAATTTATACAGTTCAGCCAATGCCAGTTGATAATCCATCATTAAATCCACTGGTACAACAATTTTATGCCGCCAGACACTAATGAATAAAATAGCAGATAACTTTAAAATGATGAAAGATGCATAGTAGAGTTATCAGAGATATCATATATATAAAAATGATAATAGGATGCCAGACATACGATGTACTTGCAAATAAAATTATTGATAATCTATCTTATATTAATATATAAGATTAAATAAGCCCTTACCCTCAAGTGCTAGTGTCGAGAGATTATTTAGTAAGGCAAAACTTATACTTTCTGATCGTCGCTCTAGATTAGGGGATGATAATATTGAATGATTTTATTATTTGCAACAAATTTCCATAAATATTTATTTTTACTACATAAATTTTTTTATAATCAAAACTAACTACATTTAATATTTATAAATGTTGATTTTTATATATTTACTATACAATAAAATTATAGGCAAAAAAAAAATGTTTGTAAATATATTTTAAAAAGTAGCTAAAGCTAATTTTAAAAAATAGTAGCTAATAGCGAGCTACTATTTTTGACAAATAGCGATAGCGGTAGCGCTTACGCTTTTCAAAATTCACGATTTTTTAAATATATATTATAAATTGTGATACTATGACACGGCTTTTATATATATTATGGATATTATCCGTAAATCATTCAAAAATGTAATAAATAACACTATAAATAATGATAACCCCCCACCATTAATGCCTCTCCACAACCCTCATTTAGAATATTTAGACGCAAAATGTAACATCCCCTTACCCCCCTACCTCGCTCATGAAGATGCTGGCTGGGTTTACGTTGAATTCAAAGAAATCATCCTTCCGGCAAATTTGAATAAAAATATTTTTATGCATCATGACTGTAAAATTACAAATGTTTTATTGTAATAATTTTTACCGTTAAATCAATTAGCGTTTATAAAAAGTAACAAATTAATGTATATATTATAAAAATATCTCTTTGCTAATTCGATTTTTAAACATCTCGTCCACCTATTATAGTTTTATCGGCATACAGGTCTAATTGTAGTTAACTTCAATGTACGTACACGTTTAATAAATTAATCATTAATCTGGGTTAGTATTAATATTAGTGTCATTGGTAGTGATAGAAATATTTATGATCGACATCGTATTTTATGGCCTAAATGCCATAAATAAAATTGCCGTTTGAGTATTAAGTTAGCGCTTAAAGTATCTACCATATATAAAATAATATTATTTGTATTTTTTTTAAATAAAAATTTTTCTTTTTCATAGAAAAAAAACTTACAAATAAGCTAAGGCTTGCTTGCTTGAAAGGCGTAATTTATAAAACCTTAAATATCTATAAATATCTAATTTGAAATAATAATTCAAAAGGCATAAATTCTAATTATTTATCCCTAGTCGATTTAATAGTTGTTATAAAAAGGTGAGGAGGATAAATAAATTGCATTATTTTAGTTTATGATTTATTTTTATAATGTGTTACTCATTTTATGATTTAAATTTAATATAATACATATGTTATTAGTTCTCATTGCGAAAAATCATCAAAAAACTTAGGTGAATTGTGTTTTTTAAGATGACGCTAAATTAACCATAGGTATGCCCTAGAATCAGAGTTTGCAAAAACACAACCTAAAAACTTAGAAACTGGAAAGTACAAGTGTGACTTGAAAATTTTAGGAACCAAAATTACTTTTCCATAAGGTTTCAAACTCCTTAAAAATCAGTAATGATTTATCTTATGATTAAAAGTAGTTATTCCTATTTAGCAATGTCTCCTCATGACTACACATGGGTAGACAGTGATACTTTTTCTGACGAAAATGATTTATTCACATAATTTCTGGTCGTTTTATATCTTTTTTCCTCTCGCGAAGAGTATGACGAGAAGATTTTATATTATCCTTTTTCTAACATTCTTATATTTTTTTTGGTAGCCCTTTCCTATATTTTTATAAATTTGGGTTTTTTCTTTATCTTTAAACAAAGTTACTTTTTTACTTGAGATAAAATATTTTTTGTAAATAACTCTAGTTTTATCATTATAATATATATAACTAGTTTCACGTCATTGGGACAAGGGATTATGCTAGTTTAATTAATGTTTGCTAGAAATGTAAAAAATGTGAAATGGAACTTAGTTTATTTTTTAAATGTAACATAACTAACTTAATTAAAGTCTGTAATTAAATATATTATAAAATACATTTGGCTTATATATTTTGAAACGATAAAAAATTAGAACCCCCCCCCCCCCCACCCCGTCAATATATCAAGATTGTTTTTTGGAATATAATATATTCAATTTTTGTGGAAAAATTTGTTAACTTCAATTTTTTATTCAAGATATTCTTTCATAAAAATGATTAAAAAAATAATATTCTAAAAAATTTACGAGTTAAAAAATTTCTAAAATTTTTACAATTAAAAAGATGTTTAATTTTTCTTTCCAATTTTCAAAGACTAATTGAATTGACAATAGCAACCAGAAGGTATTTGAAACCAATCAGAAAAAATTCCGTTAATCTCGTCGTATACTCTCAACTGAATATTGTAATATTGTTGATCACACCTACCATAATCGTAGCATGTTCCACCAAGACCCGAAAATCCTCTATAAAAACAAATATGTAATTTATTTTAATAAAATGACTCAATATATTTAACTAGCTAAAAATTTTAAATGTGTACTGTGTTGGGGAAACCCAAATGGACCTTATTCTATAAAGTTAGAGAACATAATCATATATGATAATAATAATAAAGTTAAGGTTAAAATTAAGTATTTCTTTTTATAAACCTGCTACAATATTTGAAAAGAATCTTTTGTTCGAAATCTTCATTTTGAACGATATATCTACCTTCTCCGTTAACGTTGAGTGCCCATCTCGGAGCCAAGACCTCAAATATCTCCTTGCAATAGCGTACTACCGGCGGAATAAAAATGGGGTCATCCACGATAAACAAGCTCCTTCCAGTCTGAGACTTACCAAAGGAAGACAACTCTTTTGCCCTTTGTTTTAAATATAAATTATATATATATTTTTTTAACATGTTTAATTTTTTTAATGAAAATATTATTTAATTCAAATAAAGTTCATTATTTTTTTAAACTTTGGGTAGGAACTGGGATCCTTGCAAAATTTTCCGGCTATCAATTTCTTACATGTGGTAACGCCGCTTTTCTGTTGAATATTTGTTACTCTCGGAGGCTTTTGAACTCCTCCCCTCAAAGGGTTCCGATCATAAGTATTTTTGGGAGGTTTTTGTACTTGTTGATAACGTTGCCCGAATATAGAAGCCGAGCACAATAACAAGACAAAATGCTGGAACTATTTTTTTTCAAAAAAATTTATAGAATTATATAAAAAAAAATGACGAAATGAATATTTCCAGAGGTGAAAATGGGAAGAGTAAGATTAAAAATTATTGATATATAAAAAGAACTTTACTTTTACTGATGGAATCATGTTTAAAAAATTTTTTTTATTATAAAATGTTACAAAATTAAAAAAATAATAATATGACACTTTAAAAATTTAACGTTGACCACTAAATCATGGTATAATTTTCTTAAGTATTTAATTGGTAATTTACCTTGATTGTTTATTTTATTATTGGTGAAAAATATTCATTTATTTACTAATATTTAGTATCAATTACTTCTTTTTTAAAAAATGTAAAATAATAAACAAAATTTTAAAATAGTTATTTAAATAAATTTGTTAGTATTTTCTTTTTGTGGGAACAAATAAGAATATCATTTGATCACAGACATGCGTATAAATCTAATCAAAGTGAAAGAGGGTATTTAATAATACTATCAGGGGCGTAACCAGATTTATCCAGGGGGAAGGGATTACGAATTTTTTTTGGCAACTTTATACCCAAACACTCATTTGCCCGGGATTCTGCCCGGTCACGCATATTAAAAAGGTTGGTATTTTTGATATTCCCTTGGCTATTTTTATTTTGCCATTTTTATAATATGTAATCTTTTTTAATATCATTTCCACTAACCATTACTGGACATTTAGAAGCATTAATTTTAAAATCTATGCAAATGTTTCGTGCTTTATTACTGCCTACGAGTGCCTTGATCAGTATAGTAGCCGGTATAATGAGGAAAAAAATATTAATATCAAGATTTTGGTCAGTCTTACTATTAAAAAGCGACTGAAGGCATTAATTTTAAAAATTTTATCTTTAGTGAGTGATTGTATCTTATATTATTATATTCATATTTTGTAGACCCTAGACAATAAAAAGAAGAAAAAAAGTTATTAGTAAAATATTAAAAAAAATTTGGCATTATGCCAGTATGGAAAATATAGAAGAACGAAATGTCTGGTTTACAATAACTTATTATTCCTCAATCAATTTTGCAAACCACAAAATAAAACCGAGTTAAAAACAAATTGAAAACTATTGTAACGCTAGTGTGGAGTGAGCCAAGCTTTGGAAACATTCATTCTGTAACTTATAATCCATTAAGTAGTCCTTAATAAGTATAGTCTATTCATTAATATGTTTGGCTGATGATTAAAGGTTTTCAAATAATTGATAATATAAGAAAAAAATTGACATCGTGCCAGAATGAGAATATAGAAGTTCTAAATGTTTGGTTTGCATTAAAATTCAACGCCTTTCTTATTAATTCTTCAATCAATTTTGCTACCCATATTTAAACTATTATTAGAGAAAATGTAACATGTTTATTATATGTTACTTCATTATTAAATACATTCAGTGATTTAATTTTATTTACTTATTCATTTTATAAGATACAAAATCAGAACTTAGTATATATAAATAATTTATACCTACAACATTTGTAGTTTACCTAGGCATGGGGATTTGCACTTTTTAATTGTATATAATGCTTCATTTAAATATATTTTGTGTTACATTTTAATATATTTATGACTATTTACTTAGATTTTTTTTTGGGGGGGGGGGTATTTAGCTACCATCTCCAATCCTACCCCATAGTTTGGACTCTTATCCTTTAAAGCATAACTATTTTATAGGTAAATAAACTAATAACAATTATTTAAAGTGTTCAGCTATCGATCATCTAAATGTGATTCTTTCTGTCGAGTCTCACATATAAATTGTAAGATAAACTCTTTCATAAATAGCCCCTTTCTTACTCTTAATCTGTAATACGTTTTCTTTTCAGAAGCGTGGATTGGAAACCATAGGATATCTTCACTTCATGACATTTCTAGCTCGGTTAGGTCTTATGCAAACAAAATCCTATTAAAAATAGAATGTTCTATAAAAATGTAATATCCTATATATTGGTCACCTCTTTATTGTGACGAAGAAATTGGCATAACCATTTTCCTTAATATATTTCATAGGATAAAAATTTTCTTGAAAGATAAAAAGAAATTTCTTTTTTAAATGTATAGCATTAGGAACAATAATAATTTATTTTTTTAAATTATTAAATTTTACAGTAATTTAGTTTATCTATAAAAATGGATATTACGATAATATAAAATTATATAAAAAAAATTGTCATTATCTCTAATCACCTGAATTTTTTAAAATGAAGGAAAATAGGTAAAAAAAAATTATAAAATTTAATAAAAAATTTATTTAAATATCAAAATGAAATAAATATAAACTTCCATCAAATTGCTTTTAAAATTTTACGCTTTTCAAAGTATATATATTATTTTATTAATAATTTTTTTTTTAAATTATAAAAATTTTGGAACAAAATATGTCTTTTAATTTCGAGATGATTTGCACTCAGGATAACCTGTAATAGGTAAATTTATTTAATTATTTTACATTTATAATATGATACTAATTTATATATTTTAAATTTCTAACTTGTTTAAAGAAACTAATGATAATAATTAGATAGAAGTTAGATGTATTCTTTTATCATTATGAATGAGCATTAATACAGAAATTAAAACAGAATTTGAAACCCATCTTCTACCAAAAAGTATACAATTAATTTATATGTATAAAATTGAAAATAATTAAGTTAAATTAAATCTTTCCTTTGACATTGAATTTAGAAGTTTTTTTTCTTTGTGTGTTATAATAAATTCAAAATTTTATCATTTGCCCTCGATGGGAATTGGGTTTAATTTAGAAATAAAATTGTTTAATACCGAAAGGGCACTTTTTTATTTCCGGCCTCCAAACTTTGGTATAATACAATTATAACAATAAATATTTCAAAGTATTTTTTTTTACTGGATTGGTTTAGTTAAGTTTTGACCTTGGCCAATAAGACAACATATTATATAATATGGTATATATTTTATGTTAAAAAAATGATAATAAAATCAATCATAACCACTTATTTAAAAAAAATATTATTATTTATCAATGAGTGGATTTAAATCTAAATTAGAATTATATTTATTTTTTATTATTATGAAAAATCGGTTAACAAATTAACTAAAATAAGATAATCGCTCTAGTCAATTACTAGATATGGTTTTTCCAGGAAAGATTGATCTGTTACAATATACAAAAAGATTTTATAAATGCTTATAATGGTGTTTGTGTGTACAATACTAATCCTACTCGCCTACATAGTAAGTAATTATCGTTTTTATTTTCAATATAAAAAATTATTAAATAAATCATAAAATAAAAGTAAAATATTTAATATTGAGAAAAGTTGTAAAATGAAACCTCATTACCTAATTATATGTGCAATTAATTTATTTTTGTTTATTTTTATTATACAAAAAAATGCTCAAAAAATCACAAGAGTCCAACATACGGAAAAACAAAAAGTAAATAGTGTTTTTAAATAATTATCACTTTGTTAGCAAAATATTTATTAGAATATCTGGGAGGTGTGCAATGTTCGGATTTTTAACCTGAACACCACTCTCCCGCCACTTGTTTTTAAAAAATTTAACTTTAAATACTATCTAAAAATTTTGTTTTAACAGGTTAATACTAAAAAAACATTAAGTGGGGATGTTTGACCTTTTAAAATCATATTTCTTTATATTTTTTTTAAATGGCTTTTAACAAAAGTCCATTTGGTTTGCCAACCTGACCACTTTCAGGTCAGAATATTTTTCGATAAAAGTCTCGAGAAAAGATCACGTATATATTCGAAAGGCAACAATAGCCTTTGCTTTTTTCCTACAAACGTTGAACATCATCCCGATATAAAGCCTATCAATGGCTCTACCGCCATCACTACATTCAGAATCCCCTTTAAACACTGTGGCTCAATTAAGGTATTTATATATATGTGTACAATATATTTTGCTTTTAAGACAAAAGAAAAATTTCACCAAAATATCATAAATGAGCATATGAATTAGGAAAATGAATCGAGTCTATATCACGAGGGAAATTTTTTTTTGTTTCACATATATTAATGAAAAAATTGAGTTCTCTGATTTTAGGTGTATAAATTAACCTCTTAGATAAATTTATTCTTGATACATTTATATATGGTTTTAATATTATTTCCCTATATTTAGGTAAATAAGGGCACCTACAAAAATACTATTTTTGTCGAGGACTCAGAGAAAGGCGTTAATACTAGCCACCATATCCTATGTAATTATAAGGATCGTGTGTTAATGCCTAAAGTGTCCAATGTTAGCAAGATAAAGGTATTTTTTATATAGCGTCCAAACTTAAAAATTTATTATTTATTCTATTAACAGGTAACATCAACTAATACCGCTAAATGTAAGTGTTTTCATTTATTTTAGCACATGATTAGAAATTTTAATAATTATTCATATTTACTGGTAAAAAATGAAAAGAAAGAAAGATAAAGACTATATAAAAAAATAAAATTTCTTCTATTATTTAAATTGAAGTAAAATCGAAATGCAATCCTCAGAACATTCAAATTGATTTGATATTTGATAAGCCATTCGATGGCCAATTGTATACTACAAGCGCCTCTCCTTCCAATAAAAGGAAATGCCTGTACCAAGGCATAGGCTCTAAAAACTTAACGTTCACCGTACCTTACGATGATTGTGGAACTATTTTGGTTCAACCATTTTTCTTGATATAGATTTTATTTGTAACAAATTTTTTAGATTTATTGTTTACCATATTTATGGAAATTTTAGAAAAGATTTAAGCGTAAATAAATTTTGAGATAACTGTATATGACACAGGTTGTCAAATAAGAAACTAAAGAATTAATTTAATATATATTATATAACAACAAATACAAAATTACTTTAATTTTATTTAATACAAAAGTTAATAATTAAATTAGAAAATTAACAAAGTAAAATATGTAAACTGAAAAATATAACTTTTATTATTACATTTCGCTTGATCCCTTTTAAACATTTACAAACATTATTTATAATAATTTTAACAAATAAAATTTGCATACTAAAAAAATTCTTTTACAAATAACGCATAATCAATTTACATTGACAATTACCACAATAACTTCTGTAGGTGTAAATTCAATAATTTAAAATATAACTGATAGTATAATTAATAATATAAGTAGCTAGGCTTACTTATATTTGGAGATTATCCATTTTAGCTGGATAAATTTGACATGAAAAAAAATATTTACCTATATTTTAAATTGATAATTTTCTATAAAATCAATAGTAAGAAGTTAGTAAACAACACCAAAAACCTATCTTAATTTTTGATTCGATTCCAAATTTAATAAAATTTGTATATTATATTTTCCATGAATCTACGAGATTTAGAAAGGCAAGGATTATGTCAACCGTATAATAATAGAGCTACCGAACGAATACAAGGGTAAAGCTGGGTTCGAAATTCATTTGTTTAGATGTCAGAAATTAAATATTACAACTGATTTACTTAGATCTATACCCACTGCTGATCTAACGACATTGAATGCATCTACGTTTGACATTACGGAACAAATGACTACATTATTATCGACTTATCCTCCCAAAACTACTACGTTAATTACGGATATAACTATGTATAAAAGAAATATTTTTTAGAGGTTTAGGAAAAAATTATTAATCAAATAAGTATGATAAATGAAAAAGTGATTAAATTTAGATGGTTCTACCTCCTTATGCTGAGGGTTTGGTGGATGAAAATGGAAAATGCTTCAGTTATAAAATGGATACTAACTAAGACCGTTGAATGGTCATCATTTTATATTATAAATGGTGTAATTTTCTGTATAAAATCTATATAAATGTTAAAACAAAAAATAATATAAACTTAAAAAAAAAAAATCAGGAAAAACATAATTATTCCTAAGTGTTTAAGGAATGAAATCTGGCTTCAAATGTTTGCGATTAATTTTGTGAGCTAAATTTTCTAAAAGTTATAGGAGCAAATGGTCCAGTGGTAGATTGCTATTGGTGAGAATATAAAATTGCTGAAGCTTTTGTATTTGTTTATTTTTTTTTAGTTTCTGCTTGAGTAAGTAAGTTACTATTAGTGGGAAATGATAAGAAACGTGTATAATCCTAAATAAGGGATTTGACCATGGCCCAGGGAATATTGGTCATATTAGAAAGAAACCTTATGTAATCGGATTAATGGCACAATATAATTGCGGCTATTTTTTCAACTTAAGATTTATATCAGAAAATTTCTCCTTAACATAAATTAACGCACAAAAATATATTGGAAAGATGATTTAAATATAAAAAAATTGATTCAAAATTTGAGGATACGATTTTCGGAAATTTATGAATACATTTATAGCATAAATCTTTAAAAAAAGCGCTGTAAATGATTTAAATTTGAAAAATTTCATGTATTCTATAACACATATACTTTCTATGGCTATACTTTTATCTATTATACAATGTATAAATTCGAATAAATAATTCAGAATTTTTATAATTAATTATTTAATATTGTAGAACACCACGCCCTTCTCCGTGGAGAAAGTTTTCCAGCAATTACAATGGTATGAATTTTTTTAAAGCATTTTATGATTATAACCATTTTTTCTAATAATCAATATTAAATATTTTTTAGTTTTCATTTCCTTCGGGGCGAATAGCGCATTTGCCAAACCAAATAAGGTGTAAAATGATGGCTTTAAATTCACAAACATTCAAGTTTTAAAAATACATGGAAGCTATACTTTTATTTTGATATAAAGCTCCAAGTTCTAAATTTTATGTATCAAGTTCAAAATTCATTAATTCATCAAAATATTACCTTCTCAACACTTCGCCTTGGAATGGTCTTCAAAATATTCTCAATATGAAATATTCAACCATATTTTCGTTGTTGTAATAAAGTTGTTTTGATTTGTTTATGATTTCATAAAGTGAAAAAAATATAATATATACAAAAAATTTGATAGTTCGAATAATTAAAGAAATTTAATTATTTTGATGAGAGTTTGATTTATCTTCCTTTTAATATATTTTTGTATATTTTCCCTACTTTTGGGAATATTATTTTTTTTTTTAATTTAATTTTAACCTCTGTTTTTTCCATTTTCGCCTACTATTTTTTTTATACTTAATTTTACGTTGTAAACGTCTTATTGACTGTTATAGCATCTTTACTTGCATTCCTTTGAATATTAACTATTTCCAAAGATTTGTTGCATAACGATTAGCCATCAGAGTCTCATATTGAGCAACTTATGGACTCCCACTTTTCTATTTTTCAATTTAGTTTTAGTTGTTTAAAACTTTATTAGGTTGTTTAAAATTAGCCATTTTATTTTTTTATTTTCCTTGTGGCAAGCAACAAAAAGTAGCTACAATATAAAGTTTATGTAAAAATGTATTGAATCCTGATGTTACTTCAATAGGAGAATTCTCATAGAAATAAATTCACTATTATCACTTTTATTTTCTTATTAAAAAAATATATAATTAGGTATTATAAGAAGGTTCAATAATATAAAATTTGATATTTTTAAAAATTAATATTGATTATGGTTTTATTTTTGAGAATAATTCTTGATTTGTTTGTTACATTAAATTCTTAAATCTAAGTTTTATTGTGTTTAGCAATTAGTTCAGAATTATCATTTTTAAATGATATTTTTTTAAAAATCTTCATCGCCAAATCAATGACTGCTTATTAAATTATTGATGGACACACTTTGCTATATTATCCATTAAAAATATTCATTTTGTTTTCTTTTGCTATAATTATGTGTAAAACATTATCCCAAAAAATTTTATAAAATACTGTGATATGACCGATAACTGTTTCATAACCAAACTTCTGTATTGTTGGAGTTATCCATTAAAAAATCTTCATTTTTGTTTACCAATATATTTACATGTTCATTATTCTAAAAAGGATTTTAAAAATATTGTGATTTGACATATTGACGAATAATTGGGGAAGGATGATAATAAATATAGCGAATAAAATATTTTTTCCAATTTAAATTATGGTTGTATAAGCTTTTGTAAAAAAATTACATGATTTATAGGGATATTTAAGATATCTTCGGGTATATTATGAGTGGTTCTTATTGCGTTGATAATCTGCTAACATCTCGAACCCATACATTATGGGTATAGGAATTGGGGCTTAATAAATTAAATGATAACGGGGGACAAAAAGATTTAATAAGTTTATTTAAAGCAGCACTTAAAACAAAAATGATAATCATAATATTAGACCAATTCCCTATTTTAAATATAGTATTTAATTTAAAGTATATATGTATGAAATAATATACGTTATCTCATGGAAACTGGTATAATATAATTACTATTTACAAAATCATACTATAATGAGTATGACTTCGATTGTGGCAATAATACGTAAATAAATATGGGAAGTTTCTTTACCTAAAATAGCTAATCACACAACGCAATATAGGCAATTTCCAACACCTCATGTTTTGTTTCTCCATTGGCGAATAGCTCAATATAGTTGGCTGAATTCTCTCCGATACATTGGTAGCTGTTTCATCAACATCATAGGCACAATTTCTTCACTTTTTACCTATTTATGGTGTCGATTGACATCTCAAAAGATGGTTATATAATAAAATAAATATATATACCTTATTAAATATGATATAAATTTTTGTATATCATTTTGAATGAAATATAATTTAAAATTTTAACGGTTTCCCTTTTCTTTTTTTTAAAATTATTATCTTTTTAGGCTGTACAAAATCTTTTTCAAGAATTCGCATTGTTTTAAAACTTTTTTTCATATTCGTTATTTTTAAGCTTTTAAAAAGAATTATAGACAATTGGGTATATTATAAATTGTTAACATATTAAATTAAAATTTCAATGAAAATAAACCATTGAAAAATGATATTCGCTATTAAATTTTTTTGAAGCAAATGGGTTAAAATATATATTATAAACATTTTGAATTATTCAGTGTAGATGCACCATGGAACAGTGGCCCTATAAAGGGGGGGGGGGTTAGAATCAACTGCTTTTTAATATTAGAAAGGGGGTACTTAAGAATTTTTTTACAAAATATTTTACCACCAAGATGATGAGAAAAAATGAACAAAAGAGAATTCCAATCTTTTGACATGAAAAATATGGTTATAAAAAAATTCAAGTGGAAATTAATCTAACAGATGCTTTTTTATAGTTGATAGAACATTTTCGAAACCAGAAGCAATATAGCTTTGTTACTATTGAGAATGGTGAAACGCCTAAGCCGGTTGAAAGATTAATAGATATATATGTCCGGTTAACACGAGGTTTAATATTAAAAAAATATAATATGCAAACTTAGTTCCATGAAATTATCTATCAAATTTTTAGTTGGGCAAAGCTAGGTGCCTCAAACATGAGTAAAAGGATTAATGGAGTAACTTTGATTAGAGCGGTGGCTCGGCAGCTTTTATTTGGTGTAATTATCATTGATTAAATTTATTCATTGTTCAATCATGCCAATCGAGATAAGAAAGCAGTAAGAAATGTTTCAGGGATCTTAAACGAGATTCACGTGTATTCCAATGGTTAAAAGATATGCAGTGCTTAAAGCATTTCAGAGTAATGTATCTTATTTGTTTAGATTTAAAATGCTTCTTTTATATTTATAAAAGCTGGCTAACATCATAAAAAGTTATTGCATTTTTTTTCTAGTTGATTATATTTTGAGGGCAGTATTGGCAAATTTAAAGGAGTGTAAAACCTGCTTATCATGGCTAATGTTTCAGTTTGAATATAAAATTTTTATTTTATTTTATTACTTTGTGTTTTGGATAAAATATTGTTGATAACAAGCTTGGCTTATATAAAATTTACCATGTTGAATAGAATTTCACATAATATATTTCAATTATTCTCCCCTTTGCGACTATTCCTAGAATTTTCCAAATAACACAAACTATTTATTAATGTTCTTTTTTTCACAAAAGTTTCTTTTTATATGACGTAGAAGAGTGGAACATTTTAACCGTGTTACCGTTACCAATAGCCACTTTACTACAAGGTGATATATATTGTATAAATGGTTATTACGTGACTTTTAGTTAAGCTCTAAACTTCCGATAAATTTTATTATATCCATGGGTTTAAATATGATGTATACAAATTTTGAAATTCTGAACCTTAATATATTTTGCTAAAAGAAAGAGAGAAAAAGCTAGAGAGTGATTTTTATCATTTTTGGGTTATAAAACGGTTTTTTGACTAAATAAACCGGGAAAGTTTTTTAAAAGATAAACATAGGTAAGAAATAAGATATAAAAATACATCTTCACCCCAAATTAAAATCTTTATGATCAAGAGTTGAGAAATTATTCGCAACAGCATTGTTACCCCTTCAATCGCTTTACCCCGGTCTCCCCCTACCTTTAAAGTTACGTTTAATAAATATACAAATATATATTTAAATTTGTATATTTGTTAACACACTCTCACTCTACGTTCTAAGCTGTTTTATTATATTTATTTCGACTTTTCTCTAGCTTTGACCAATTTTTTATGATATGGTCCAAAATAACTTATTTAAGTAAAAGTTAAAAAAATATAGTTTTGGATGCGGTTATATAATAATTAAATTATAAATATAAGCCTTAAGAAACGGCAAGTTGCATAGCCTAACTAATGAATAGCATCATTTAATATATAATGAACAAAATATTTAAGTGAAGATGTGAAAAAAAGAAGTTTTTTTATACGATGCATAAAAGAAAATTTCTCTTGCGTTTAATGCGCGTTTATTTCTGTTAGCTTTCGTTTTTTCTTAAAGAAAATTTTATATAAAAATGTATGTATAATATTTAAATATAATTACATCTCGTCATCAATTAATAGTTCTTGAATCGATCATTGAAACGTAGTGTTCTGTTATGTTAATGTTCATTAATTAAATTTTTGATGAAACTGAATGATATTATAAATTATATACTCTAGTATTTTTTTATAAAATCTTCTTTATTGATCAATTAAATAACCACCTGTTTTTTAAAGCTGAAATTGTGATTCCAAAATTATAAATCAGGACCATGTCATCCGAAGAGACTTTGCCTAAAACTAAATCATCGACTGATAATGAAATTAAAGAAGTAAATGAAGAGGAGTGTTGCCTAGCTCCAAATGTCCACTCCCATCATCCATCAGCCCATAAGCCCGAATTAAAAATCACGACTAGCAATCAGGAAGCCCCCGAAGATGCTAAATCAAAGGAGAGACTAAGCAAGGCTGGTACCTCGGATAAGCGTGACTCTAAGTCATCCAAGGATTCCAAAGATGTAAAGAATTGTGCGAAGGAAATCAAAGAGCCTGTCAAGCATGATTCAAAAGAACCCGTCAAGGTTGATGCCAAACAACCTACCAAAACGGATACCAAGGAACCAGTCAAGATTGCTGTAAAAGAACCTGCCAAAACTGAAGCTAAAGAACCTGCCTCTAATGTCAAAGAATCCGTTAAAATATCTGCAAAAGAACCTTCCACCAAAACTGATGCCAAAGATTCCCCCAAGGTCGCTAGTAAGGAACCGGCTAAGACTGATATCAAAGAGCCCGCTAAGGTTGCTGCCAAAGAACCTGCCAAGGCTGACATCAAAGAACCCGTCAAGATTATTACTAAAGAGCCTGCAGCCAAGGTTTGTACAAAAGAGCCCACCGCAAAGATTGCTACTAAAGAACCTCCGACCGGAACCGTTGACAGTAGTAGACCCAAAGCTCCGTCACCCAAAGATGAAAGCAAGATGCCAGCCTCGAATGCTAAAAGACAAGGTAAGTTTGTAATAACTTCTAGAGGTTAATTGTTCAATTTGAAGGGAAAATACGCCGAATCGAAATCGTATAATAATATTCAAAATAGGGCTTGATCAAAAATCTTTCTTAACCTCAGTTTCGCTCACATTAAAACACAAATTATTCGAATATCTTATAAGTTATAAAAAAATTTAACATTGAGAAACAATACGAGGTTTTTTTAAAAAAATAGGATTTATTTGTCCTAAATTTATTTACAATTTTATATAACAACATTTTATAGATGATAAGAAGAAAATGGATAAGAAGCAGGAATTAGAGACCAAGCTAGATCATATTAACCAAGAAATTGCTCAAAAGAATACTTATAGCGATGTACCAGATTTGGCTGCTAAGTTGGAAAAATTTAAGCAAAAGTTTATGATATATGATGTGGACATGACAGGCCATTTAAGTGATAATTTAAAAAAAAAATTATATGAAATACCAATTTGATCTAAATAAATTATAAATATAATATATATAGTGAGATATCGATTTCAGAAATGTAAAACAAATCCCTAATCATGAATAAGTAAGGTATAGGCGCGTACGCAGGAATTTGGTCTGGGGGAGGGGGGATAATAAAATTTTTTAAGAAATATTATTGTTTTTAAAATATCAAGCATAAATTTATTAGGACTAATAACTATTTCTTACACAATATTAAATTTATGTTATAAAAAAATTATATGTAAAGAATCACTTAAATGACCCAAAATAGAAATTTGAATTTTTTGAGCCTTTACACAAAAAGTTTCTGCATTTTGTATGTTATATATATTTACAATGTAAAATCCAATCTTCGTTGTGATTGAGCTAATTTTTCAATTATCTCATCCTTGCTTGTCGTCAAATGCCTATGAATATTCAATAGATTCAAACCTTTCAATCTACTTTCAGATGTTGTACTTCTTGATATGTTTTTCAGAGATCTGCAGGCTCGGCCCCCGGGCTGGACAGTATTTTAATTTTTTTAAATATACCCGGGCCAGGCCCGAATTTTTTTTAAAAAAACACCCAAGCCGGGCTTGAATTATTTTAAAAAAACACCCAATCAGGGCTGTATTTTTTAAAACAGCCTATATTTGAAATCGTTATTATTAGCTATAAAAATCAAAAATAAATATAATTTATTTTAAAAAATCCGGGCCGGGCCTGAAAATTTTATTTAAAAAAAAGCCTGGCCGGGCCTCAAATTTTTTTAAAAAAAAGTCGAGTCGGGCCTAAAATTTTTTTAAAAAAAGCCGGGCCGGGCCTGAAAATTTTTTAAAAAAAAACCCAGACCGGGCGGTAAAAAATTTTTAAAAAAATCCGGGCCGTGCCTGCAAATGGTACTTCTGCAGGCCTCTGTTATTCTTCTTAAAAAAGAGAATGTTCTCACATTAGTTTACTAATGGGAAGAGTTTATAAACCCTTTTAATACATTGGTAATTTATTCTAAAATGTTTTTGAATGCAGAGCATCCATAGCATTTTTTGGGACTATATCAACCATAGTTAGTCTTATAAACATAGTTATTCAGCTAGTAAGGCATCATAAGATACTTTAACATCTTCATAACAAAAATCTAACAAATATTTTTTTTTTAATCACCATCTGAAAAAGGTTAGGAAGGCTTTTATGAAAGTAATATTTGCAGATTAGTAAGTGCTGCACGATGAATTAAAAATTCATTTATTTGGGTTATAAATGTATCTGTATTTAAGATATACTCTTCTACTGATCCTATATTAATGTTTTAACGATGAGCTTGCCTTGCTACAAGTCGAAGGAGACAAATATTAAACACGTATAGCTCTGCTTTTGACTCAACAATAAAATTAAAATATAAAATTCTTCATCAACATTAGCCCTAATTTCCTTGAGTTCTGATAAAATGCTCTCCGCTATTCTCATCTTCATTATCAAGTCAATGTCATGTTTTTGAAAAGTAATACTTAAAATAGTTGTATAATTAAATAATACATTCTATTGAGAAATAAAATTTAATAAGCATTGAATCCAATAATTTTCTTGCTTCTGAGGAAATATTTCTTTCAGGCCATTGTGATATTTCAGTTAGCAAATAATTGGCTCTTCTAACTCCTTAAAAGCTGTTACTGCTTGATGTCAAAGACTCGATCTCGTTGAACAAGGTTGCAATTTCTTTTTCCTTGTTGGACACGAAGTTTCAGAAATAATTATTATTTGACTAGAAATTTGAAAATGGTAGATAAATATTACGTCACTAAAAATTTGAAAATAATAAGTAAATATTACGCCGGAAAACTTGAAATCGAAATTAATTAATAAAATAACTTAGTAGATAAATGTGATAATAAATGTAATTAAATATATATTTAATATGAGATATGAATAAATATTAACAAATATAAATTAATATAAACAATAATATTTTTGAAAAATATATTCGGCATCTGCAATTTTTGGCTCTGGGGGGGGGGGGGTTGTCCCCCTGCCCCCCCCGCTGCGTACACCAATGGTAAGGTATGGAAAGTGCTTATTAAAGGTAAGAATATTAAATGTATAATCGAAATTTTGAAAGGACCAAATAAAGAGTCTTCTTCTTTGTTTATAGACAACATAGGAGACGAAGGTTACTCCTATCAGTCCTAAGAAACAAAAACATAATAAAAATGTAAAATTTGTTTTATCCTGATTTATATAATTAAATTTTTATAAAATCATGTAATATTGACTTTCATAGATTTAAACAATGTCAAAATTATGATGGAAAAATTGGGACAGGCCAAGACCCACTTAGAACTCAAAAAAATGATAGCCGAAGTGGACACCACCAAATCTGGGGTAATAACGTATATGGATTTTATCTCCATGATACTTGGCAAGCAAAGCTCTGTGTTGAAAAAGTAAATCTTGAATTTATTTTTTTTAATAAGCAATTTTAAGAAATATATATTTATTTAAAGATTTCAAATTTATTATAAAAAGACTTGTCATAAATAATCATATTTATTTTTAAGGTATAGTAATTAAAATACCTCTCTTTTGGTTTGGCCATACACAATCATAGTTTTATACTGCATGTGCAATAATTTTTGTAATTTTATTTAAATAGGATTTTGATGTATGAAGATCTCGCCAAAGGGGCTGATAAGCCTAAAGGCAAGGATGTACCAATCAAAAAGTCTTTGGAAGATTTTGGAGTCCGAAAACCATGAATAATGACATTAAATTTTTATAACTTTTTTTCCAAATTAATTTTTAAAAAAAATGTTTTCTATTATTTTACGATAATGTTTTTACACTTAATTTATACAAATTGAATTATATTTAATTGAAACTATATTTCTTAAAAATATAATTATTTATCAAATGAATTTATTTAAATAATTTATCATGATATGGTATAATTTATTTCACTATTGTAGACGCTAAAAGTTGAAACTAGTGCCTGCCTTGAGATTTCCCTAATAGATGTCCAAACATGAGCCATATGAGCAAAGTCTTTAGGTTTGCATAATATTTTCTTGGCTAAAATAACAAGTTAGCCGTTTTTTAAAAATCGGCTCAAATCAAGTCATTTAACAACATTATTAGTCAAGTATATTTTTATTCGTTTTGAATAAAAATATGGGGAGCATCTATAAAATTTTTTGGAACATTATTAACCATATTTAACATTACTATGGTTTCAGCTAGTAATGCATTATTAAATACTTCAATATCCTCAAAATAAAAATCTGCCAAATATTTAATTTTTCTCTATCAAGATTTAATAGAGATTCGAAAGGATTCTGTTGTAATAATGTTTGCAGATTTGTAGTGTGGCCTGATTAAAGAACCTTTTATTTTAGGTTATAAAAGTATCCAAGAGCGGGATAAAGAGATTTATTTTTAAAGTATTGGAGGAGGACTTGCCTTGCTGCGAGTCGAGGTAGATAAATATTAAATTCATAGAACTCTGCTTTCGACTCAACCATGAAATATAATTTCTGATTAGTCATATACATTTGCCCTAATTTCCTTAAGTTCTATATAATGCTTCTATTCTTATGGCCTCAATCAAATTGATGCCATTTTTTTGAAATAATTGTTCTACATTAAAAATTTTTGAATGACCTAGTAGATAATTTTAAAATGGTAGATAAATATAACGCCAAGGAAAATTTCGATATTATTTCATAGAATAAATTAGTAACGTATTCTATTGTGAATTCGAATGTGAAATATATATGAGATAAAAGGTAGCAATGATTATTAAAAAATATAACTTAATAATCATAAAATAGTAATAATTTTGAAAAATATTTTAGCCGGAATCTAAATTTTTTGGCTTGGGGTAGGGGAACTTGCCCCCCCCCCCCCGTTGCATATTCAACTCTAATTTTGTCAATTATGGAGATTATCACATATCCCAGCATATAGCTTAAAAAATTTCATTCAGAATCTCATAAATTTTCTTAACTTTTAATTCAGGCTTCTTATTTTATTTTACTCCTTTTTGATGATATGTAAAAAAAAGGATTGCGAGGATTAATGACAAAGCTCTACAAAATTTGGTTATTATGATTGATAGAAATTATTAGTCGTTCTAGCTTTGTGAGCCCTCTTATTTGACCAAAAATTAATATTTGAAAATCAATGATAGAAAGGTGTTATATAAATTTAAGCTTTTTCTTTAAAATATCTTATAACATAAAGCATATCTATTATCGTATTTTTAAGTAAATTATGTTATTTAGGTATATTCCTAATAAATTTAACTATTTCAAAAAAAATTAATCTTATATTTATTTAAAATTTGTTAATTTTATTTTGTTATTTATTATTATCAAATTTGACTTTATAAAATTTGACCCATTTTTCTGTTGACATCATTGACATAGAGATATCTATTGCTTTATCCAATGTTAAGCCTTCTATGATCTAAATATTTTTGATTCAAAATCTGAAATTAGATAAACACATAGTGTTACTTTTTGAATTTATTTTTTTTACAATAATACTGTTGTATATAATTTCAATACTATAAGCATTCCTATATTGTATGATGATTTTTAGGAAAAAATCTATATTATTTAAGCATATTTAGATTCTGATTTGATTTGAATAAAATAGAGGTATTTTTGGTAAATTAAAATGATAAGTAACTGTTAAAATATACTTCTTAAATTTATATAGAAACAGACACATTATCTAAAGAGGTATATGAATCTAGATACTTTCCCCATGATACATTTCTATTTATAATTATGAAAAAGGTGTGTATAATGCTTAATTTAAATTTTATTGTTAGAATTCATATTTTGAACTGCACTAAAAAAATTATTAAGTAGATATTTTTGTAAGTGGGCATTTAGAGAATACAAATAAATAGCATAAATATATTAATTACTAAAACTTTATTAATTAATCTAAATTGTAATTAAATAAAACATAATTAAATAATATAAGAAAAATTAAAAGATTAAAAATTATGTTCGCCATTGGCGTACGCAGTGGGGGGGGGCAAATCCCCCCCCCCCCCCCCCCCCCCCCCCCCACAAGCCAAAAAATGCAGATGCCGGATATATTTTTCAAAAATATTTTTGTTTAGAGTGTTGTGCAGATTTAATTTCAAACATTTCCTTATTTTTTTTCGTTTGTAAATAAAAATTTTAACTTGTAAAAATTGATAAGAATATATAAATATGTTATTTTAACAACTTTTTACAAGTCAAATAATTTTATTTTCAAATAAATTAATAAATATGGAAATGTTTTGAATTAAATTTACACAGTACTTTATTAATTTATATTTGTTAATATTTATTCCTATCTCATATTAAATATATATTTAATTACATTTATTATCACATTCATCATTAAGTTTATCAATTAATTTCTATTTCAAGTTCTCCGGCGTAATATCATCTTATTATTTTCAAATTTTTAGTGGCGTAATATTTATCTACCATTTTTAAATTTCTAGTTAAATAATAATTAATCTGAAATTGTCCAACAAGGAGAAAGAAATTGCAACCTTGTCCTACGAGATAGAGTCTCCGCCATCAAGCAGTAACAGCTTTTATGGAGTTAGAAGAGCCGATTATTTGCTATTACTGACATATCACAATGGCCTGAAAGAAATTTTTCCTTAGAAGCAAGAAAATTATTGGATTCAATGCTTATTCCAAATTTTTTTTCTCATTAGAATGTACAACTATTTTATTTATTACTTTTCAAAAACATGATGACTTGATTAAGAAGATGAGAATAACGGAGAGCATTTTATTAGAATTTAAGGAAATTAGGGCTAATGTTTATGAAGAATTTCATATTTTATATGTTATTGTTAAGTCAAAAGCAGAGCTATACGTGTTTAATATTTGTCTCACTCGACTTGCAGCAAGGCAAGCTCATAGTTAAAACATTAATATAGGATCAATAGAAGAGTATATCTTAGATACAAATACATTTATAAACCAAATAAATGAATGGTTTTTAATTCATTATGCAGCACTTACCAATCTGCAAATTAATTTCATAAAAGCCTTCCCAACCTTTTTCAGATGGTGATAGAAAAAAAAATATTTGTTGGATTTTTATCATGAAGATGTTAAAGTATCTTATGATGCCTTATTGTTGAATAACTATGTTTATAAGATTAACTATGGTTGATACAGTCCCAAAAAATGCTATGGATGCTCTGCATTATTTCAAATACATTTTAGATTATATTCCCAATGTATTAAAAGGGTTTATATATATTAGCAACTCTTCCCAATAGTAACCTAATAAGAGAACATTCTCTTTTTTAAGAAGAATAACAGAGCCCAGCAGAGGTACCATTTGCAGGGCACGACCCGGATTTTTTTAAAGATTTTTACGGCTAAGCTCAATTTTCAGGCCCGGCCCGGCCCGGCCTTTTTTAAAATAAAATTTTCAAGCCCGACCCGGATTTTTTAAAAATAAATTATATTAATTTTTGATTTTTATAGCTAATAATAACGATTTCAAATATAAGCTGTTTTAAAATATACAGTCCGGCCCGGATATTTTTTTTAAAAAATTTTCAGGCCCGGCCTAGAGGTTTTTTTAAAAAAATTTTCAGGCCCGGCCTAGAGGTTTTTTTTTTAATTCAGGCTCACAGCCCTGGTGTTTTTTTAAAAAATTTCGGGCCCGGCCTCTGAAAAACATACCAAGAAGTACAACTTTTGAAAGTAGATTGAAAGGTTTGGATCTTTTGAATATTCATAGGCATTTGACAACAAGCAAGGATGAGATAATTGAAAAAATAGCTCAATCCCAACGAAGATTGGATTTTACATTGTAAATATATAACATACAAAATACAATTATTCCCTAAGCTTTTTGTGTATTAATTTATATTTCTAACATTTAAATTTTTTATACTTTATATATAAATTTTAAAGCTCAAAAAATTCAAATTTCTATTTTGGGTCATTTAAGTGATTCTTTACATATAATTTTTTTATAATTCACATTAATTTAAAATTGTGTATTAGAAATAGTTATTAGTCCTAATAAATTTATGCTTGATATTTTTAAAAAACAATAATATTTCTTAAAAAATTTTATTATCCCCCCCCCCCCCCCAGACCAAATTCCTGCGTACGCGACTGATGTTCGCAAATTCATAATAATAATTATATTACAAGTAAAATATTCCCGATTATATATACCTTTCTATACTATTCATTTACATAGTGTTTAAACAACAAACTTGAATAATCTTGAACTTTATCTAATCTGAATAATACATTTTTTTTATTCATTTTTCTTTAACTCATTTGAATCTTCCAACAGATATATCCATACCAAATACGTAATTAAATGATAAACACTAATTGCTAGATTTTAATAATACATATAGAAAAAATATATCATTTAATAATAAATAATAATTGTTAGATTTCAGTAATAGAATATTCTCAGAATTTATATCATTAAAGCACCTCTCCGTTTATTTGCAAAGACATTTTTAGCTTAGCTATACTAAAAAGGCTTTCTACCGAGGCACATAACCGATGTTATACTTTATGAATAACCTATTAGAAAAACTCATTCAAAATTTGAAATTTATATCGTTATTCATATCCTTTTCGGGCTACTGAATAGAAAATTTTATAATAAATTATATGATTTTTTTTCAGGGGCCATCTGTTTACAATCAGTTGATAACTTTAATTAGTTCATCAATCAAAATTTAATATTTTGGCTTTACTTAAAAATTACATTATGTTGTCGTTGTGTATAGAATTAAATAAAATGTAAATTGCCAAAGGAACTCAAGGGGTCTACTATTATAGAATTCCCGGGAATATCGGTAATTTTCTGGAGGATTTAAGGAAATTTGTAAATCAAAAAATTTTAACAAACTTTTTTTAGTCTAATATAAATCATTGACTTCAATGAAATAGATTTAAGAAATAGAATAAATAAATCTTAAACAGTAATATATTTATTTGTAATGCATAAACTTTTATTTAACATACTTAAAAATATAATGATCGAAATTTATAAATATGAATTTAATAAATCCTAGAATGTTGAGTTCTACTCAAACTATCCTCTATAGTGATATCACTATGATATATTTCCATTTTTTAAAATTTCAGGATTTGAAGTAATTGAATGATTATACTTGTATCTAGTCAGGCGCGTAACCAATGGAAGGGAAAGGGGGAAATTTCCCCCCATCCATCGCAAATTTGACTATTTTCATAAATATCATTTTAGGCTAATAAAAATTTTACCCCCCCAGACCCCCCCCCTACCCACACAAATCAAAATTTTACAAATATTTGAATATTAATTTTCCAACATATTATTCAAAAATATTAATAAAATTGTAAAAATATTTAGTCAAAGAGATTGAAATCAAACGATAATTTATAAATAAGGCTGAGCATGAAAAAAGTAATGTGTCGTTAGCAGCGATATCATTATTGAATTCAATTGATCAATCAGAGTTTATCATTGCTGCTAGTTGCATCAATAAATTATTTTTAGCTCACTACTTTGTAGAAATTTACAAAAACCAAATTTAGATTTGGTTCAAGTTATTGATTTGGCGGAAAATATACATGAACAGGTAGATACAATAAGAATGAATGTAGATAAATATTTTCATAATATTTATCTAGACGTTGAATCGAAGGCTAAATTTTATGATATAATACTAATTAAACCTCCTCTAGCACCTAGGCCATTTTTGAGATGAAAATAAATATTGGCTCAACTGAAGAATATTCTAAAATATCCATTTTCATCCCATTCTTAGATACTTTTTTATAGCAAATAAAAGTACGGGTTTTAGATAAAAAACAAGTCTTTAGCAATCTTCAAGTTTTATTACCCAAAGATCCTTCTTCATTTTCTAATGCCACTATTGGTAAAATTAAATATTTAGAAAAATTTTATTCCTATGAGATTGATACTGAAATAAATTTAATCAGTGAATTCGAATTGTGGTATAAATATTTATACGTTTAGCTATTTTACCTGAGCATGCTATTGATGCGCTCAATCGGTGTAAAGAAACCTTGGCTCAATTTCCTAATATTTCGAAGTTGTTTTATATTCTTGCATGTTGGCCTATTACAACATGTACAAATGAAAGGACTTTTTCCAACTTGAGAAGGTTGAAAACATATTTACGAAGTACTGATTTCAAAAACCTCTATATCAAACCATAAATATTACAAACCATATCCCATAACACAAAACAAACCATAATTTCATAATAATAAGACTCAAATTTATTTTTTAAAAACATCAACAACAATTTCTATACATTAACATAAAAAAATATACCAAAATTTAATATAATTATTATCCATTTCTTCATCTCCCAAAGGTTCACAGCTGACATCTTATTCAATATTTTCCCATCTCCTACTAGGGGTTTTTCCTAACAATGAAATACACCCCGTGATCATCATCTCCTCTTCTTCCCCCAAGGAAAACTTAATTCCCCTGTCAGAAAATAACTGACATTTTATGTATTATATTAAATTTATTTCTTCTTTTTTCAACAATTACAACACGCCCACCCTTCACAAGCCCAGCGTCCCTCTCTCTGTGGTGGTGTTGTATCGAATCACCTCTTTGAATTGTATCGAATCACCCCTTTGAATTGTATCGAATCACCTTTTTGAATTGTATCAAGACGCCTTGAAGACGTTCAGGGAATCTGTCGAATCAACTTCCCTTATAATGATTTATAATATAATAACTCCAGTACATTTCAATATAAAATCGCCAAAACAGACATTATCAATAATGACATGTACATTGGGGTACCTGCATTTATAATCTACGGAACATTAATATGGACAATGTAATATCCGCAAAACATAATAATTTATTCATTTTAAGACATTTGGGAACTACTAGCTATAATATACATTATTAGGGTATGATTCATGGTAATTAGGAAATAATGATCTTACATATAATAATGTAATGTGAAAACATTGTCTAAGTGTGAAATGCAATTTCAACACATGTAATTTTCCTTCTATCATGTGAAAAAAAACAAAGCTACATCTTTATAAATATTTCCTAAAATGAATATAAAAATCCATCTTTAGGTATTAAAAATAATTGCGAAACTTGGCCGAACAAAGATTATAAATAAAATTACAATACATACGTATATAAATACATTTAATATTATATATGAAGGAACAAATATATAATATGTAGAAAATACAATATTTTCCATCTAGGAATTACTCAGTATCCTAAGAAAAATATACCATTTCTACCTAACTCTGTCATCACAATTAGCACAAATTCACAAAAATGTAGAATGCAAAGTAACAAAAATTGATAATATAATGAGCTATATGGTATATATGTAAAGAATTTTTAATATACCTTCACAATATAAAATAATTTGAGTCTTTTCTTTAAAAATATGTTCATAATTAAATAGTAAAATGTGATGTGTTATAAAATTATTAAAAAGATAAAAAAAATGTATTATGCAGCATAAATTTACAAAAAAAAAACTTTCCCCAGTATGCAAACTAAACAATATTTTCACCTCAAGGCATACCCCTCAACACGGGCTGACCTTTTCTGTAAAAATATTTTCCCTTCACATCATTGCATACCACACAAATAATATAATAATTGCAAATAAAACTTCTTATAAAAATTTATAATTTAAAAAAAAATATATATATTAAATATAAAGATTTCATAATTTGAAAAAAAAAATATTATACACCATCTAATGTATCATATAAATTCCTATCCAATTTATATATACACTAAATGCAGACACTAAATCAAAATAACTATCCACATCTAACATTATAGATATTATTCTGACTTCATCATACTTCAAATTCTCATTCATAATTAAATATATCATATGTTACCTATACAATATATTAACATTATAAATAATAATTCATAGTTAAATATATCATATGTTACCTATGCAATATATTAACATTAATTAATAATAAATTATCCCATACATATTCATCCCTTTACAAACCCAAAATGCATAATTAAATAATACACACTTTATTACAAAAGTCTATATCCATATATATTTTCATAAATTTCACATATTTAAATATTTAACAATCCTTTCTGTCCTGCTGTTCATGAGGTCTTTCAGCTTCCTATGACGGAATACCTATAACACCATTCAATGAGTTTTAAGGCATCCCAAATAATGATCAAAATTAGATGTACCATATACATCTAGACATAAGATAATATACCAAATATTACTGTCTTAAATTCCTGATCTTATTTCCATATTTCTGCCTAATACTCATTACCTACTTTCAATCTTACATTTTTTAAAGTTAAATATAAAAGTATAGAAATTTTTAAACTCACGTATCTGTATAGTTTTTAGTACATTGCATGGTTAAAATTTTTCATATAATATTTATACAAAAATTTTGTTTTTACCTTTAAAATACCGAATAACCCTGGAATCGAAACTATCCTATAGTCATCGTGCACCAATTTCAAAAACCTCTATATCAAACCATAAATATTACAAACCATATCCCATAACACAAAACAAACCATAATTTCATAATAATAAGACTCAAATTTATTTTTTAAAAACATCAACAACAATCTCTATACATTAACATAAAAAAATATACCAAAATTTAATATAATTATTATCCATTTCTTCATCTCCCAAAGGTTCACAGCTGACATCTTATTCAATATTTTCCCATCTCCCACTAGGGGTTTTTCCTAACAATGAAATACACCCCGTGATCATCATCTCCTCTTCTTCCCCCAAGGAAAACTTAATTCCCCTGTCAGAAAATAACTGACATTTTATGTATTATATTAAATTTATTTCTTCTTTTTTCAACAATTACAACACTGAATCTCGGCTAAATGGGTTAGCTCTGTTAAATATACACAGAGATTTGGTTCCAAAGACAAACGAAATAATTAAAAATCTTGTATTTGATAAGAAGTTAAAAAAAACTTGTTAATTTAATTATTTTCTAGTCAATATTTTAAACTACTATTAGTATTTTCAATAAAAAAAATTATATTCTACTTATATTGTATGAGAATTTAAACTGAGGCTAGTTTTTAAAGCAAATTTTATAAAAAAAATGACATTACATTTTATTTCAACTTTACATATAAATAAACCTTTACATTTAAAAAAACTTTATTAAATATAATATACCTAACTTGAAATAATAAAAAAGAGGCTTGTAATATCCTATCCATAAGCACGAATTAGTAAATAATAGTTAAAAATAGAAATATAATTATTATTAAATTATTCATAATTTAATAGAATAGCTAAATAAGACCCGGCCAAAGGCCGGGGGAAAGTGGCCGAAGGCCAGGTAAAAGGGGTTTGGGGGCGAAGCCTCCAAAAAATTTTCCCCCCCTATAAGAAAATCCTGGATACGCCACTGTATCTAGTATCAATTATTTTATGTTGTAAATATAAATTGCATTTTATGGGAATTAACTTCCCACGCGTTATTAATAAGTCTATTACGATTTTTATGGAATCAGCTCTTCCAAAATAAGACCAAATTCTCTTCTGAGCAGCATTCTTTAGAGGAATCGATAAAAATTTTAAGGTGATCTTATTTATAGGTTGCAGTCAAAGGCCTTTCCACCATATCAGAGATTGAACATATTTTGCAATTTTCTATATTCCCATGTTTTCCCAAAATTTCTCTTTGAATAAAATTCTGAGAGATTGTTAAATACGATTCTTCTTCAGTGAAACTTTTATAGCGATACACTTTTGTAAATGTCGTTTATTGCGAATAAATTTTATAGTGAAACTTAGGCGGGTGAATTTATTTTAAAAAAGAGAATACATTCTTCATAAACAATGGGTGAATGGGAGAGTTAGTTAAAAAGCAGCCTATTACAAACATCTAACTCAGAAGTTACACACCTGGACCAACCTCCTTAACTGTGTTAGGATTAAGGCGGAAAGAGTTCCCCAAAAAAAGTTGTAGTTTTAGTAAATTCCTACGATTTTTTACAATTTTTGTATATAGGTGATTTTTGTCCCTCATTTTCCATTTCTGGAGAATATATGTGTGGGTATTTTAGCTCATGCTTTTATGTACAAATATTTAATACAAATCAAATCACATAATTCATTCATAGTATCTTTATTAAAGACTTACACGTCTCCAGACAGGGTTGCGTCGGAGCCTAGATTTAATAATTTTATTATAATTTAAATATACCTCTTCATATAGCTAAAAAAAAACAATTAGAATAAGATTATTCTAAGCATAGACGTAGTCAGGATTTTGGAGAGGAAAAAAATATTATTAGGTTGGGGTTTTTCCCATGAATTTTATTGGAGGTCCTTAGGCCCACTTATTATAAGCCTATGGCTTATAAAAATAATATTAAGTTTTCACTTTTTTTCAAAAAAAATTTTGAATTACAGTCGTTATTTTAAAAAGTTATTAACTTTTACTAATTTTTCTTTCAAATTCTTCTTCATAGTGATATTGGATACATTTTTGGGGGAGTGGGGCGTGTGTGAGGGAATTTTTTTTATTAGCTAATGATATTTATGAAAACAGTCAAATTTAAGAAAAAGGGGGGGGGGGGTGATTTATCCTTGCCCTTCCCTCTGGCTCGGCCTATGATTCTAAGGAAGAATGTTTTGATAAATTAATATGATCATAAATAAATTTCCTTAAAATATTGTGGATATTTTTTTTGCTTATTAGCGTTTTATTTTAGTTAACACCTCCACCCCCCCCCTCTCATTATATAAACTTTTTTGGTCTTTCTTCTAAAAATATTTAAGTTAGAGATCTGCAGAGTTGTCCGGCCCATACCCTAGCCCTATTTAAAATAATCGGGTTCGGGCCGAACTTATTATTTTTAATAAAAAATTTGGGCCGGGTCGGGTCGGACCTTAGAAATTTTTTAAATTATCTAAATTTATCAATTTTATATTGAATTTTTTATGTAAAACAAAAATATTTGATTTTATTTATTGAAACTAAACGACATATAACATTTTATTTATTTTGAGTAATTATAAAAATTAATTTCTATATTTAAAAAAATTTCGGGCCGGGCTTGAAAAATTAGGCCCGATGCAGATCACTAATTTAAGTCATCTCCTGAATTAGTTTTTTTTGCTATCATTAATTAAAATAAACATTGAATATATTTGTAACGAATTTTTCTTTCCAATTTCAAATTATTTTCTAATTTTTAGTCCATTTTTGCTGGGGAATCGGTGTGAATATATAATATGATGTATATTTGCATATTTTATGTAAAGAGGATTTTTTCTCAATTTTATTTTATAATTTTCGTTTCGTGTTAATTATGTCAGTAGGACTTATATCAGAGCATCGTTAAGATCGGGCAGCTAATCTTTTAACCTGTTTAAAATCGAATGGAAACACTCACTTCATGTTCAATATAATTTAAGAAAATTAATCCTTTTTTTCATATCTAGTTTAAAACCCGATTTGTTTACACAGTTATGAACCCTTTATTTTTAAAATTAATTAATACCAAATTTAATTGAATTAAAGAATGTTTATTTTAATTACATAATTACATTATGTTTTGATGGTTTTATATCACGAATTCCAGGTAATTTATTTTTTATAAATCAGAATTAAAAAAATATAAAATAATAATATTTTAATGACCACTTCAACAAAACTATCTCTGATGTATAAAAGTATAACAACGACACGTGTATATCATATCAAACTTTATTTGCAAAAGAATCATGTTATCATAAATATTTTTTATTGTATAACAATAATGATTGTGAACATTTTTAACTGAAGATGTTTATTATATATTATACACTTAAGTAAAATTTTATAATATTTCTTTTTTTTTTATCCTTATGGGTTTTTTATATTTATAATTGCTCTGACAATAATCTCTTCATACTCTGTCAAACGCGCGTGAGAAATTACCTAGCTAAATAAAGCTTTCTTCTTAGCAAGTGGTATTTTGCCTTTACATCAGGAGAAGAGGCATAACTTTTGAAGAACTCCAAATCTAATAAAATTAATGATATAATAGATCATTTTTAATAAGAGAAGTGCATTCTACAAATTTATGCTATATAAACATCTTTTTATGTAATCCTATAATAGGATTAAATTTTAAGAAGAAAAAAAAACTTATATACTATCTTTTTCGGAATTTATTTTCCTTAAGAAAAATGATTTGCATGGGGCTCCTGTGAGAACAAATAATTAAATGAAATGTAGAAATAAATTTATATTATAATAATAAAAAAAAATATTTTTACATAAAAATTATTTATAAAAAATTTATTTATTTAAAAATAATAAAGAATTTTAAATCATATTAAGGAATAATCTGATAAAAGTTCCCCGAACTAAAATTATGTAAAATGCAAAAAGGATACAAATTTTTACATCCATTAACTGATTTTCCAAAAAAAATTGTTATTTCAAGTGTTGGTATGGTTCATGGGTTACTGTTCTGGATCGAGAGTAACCTCTTGGATGAAGTTAAAGTTGAAGGGTTGGGATATGGAATAGGGTAGGATCATTTTTAAAAAAATCTTTCATTATGAAATATATTTTTTTTTTCTTTAAAAAAAATCTCGTTTTATACTTTTCAATAGTGTTGTAATTTACATATTATGATTAATGAAAACAAGGATGAGGGGAAATGCCTACAAAGTTTTCAACTGAAGGTCTCTTTATTTTTAAAAATATTATAAAAGTGTAATGTTGGTAGGGTTGTTAAGATGCCCGGTTAGGGTCGATTTTTAATTGGCTATCTTTATTGGGCCCTTTTTTAAAATAGACTCAAATTGAGCATTTTAACAACACACCATGTCAAAGATTTTTTGCTCAAAATTTTCGGCATTTTTTATTTTGACAAGAAAATACCCCTTATACTTAATTTAGTTCTTTGTAAAAAAAGTAGATAAATTATTCAATTTCAAATATATTAAAGATTAGGTACCAACTTGTCAATTTTTTTTGTCAATAGTTTAATAAATTAATACAAATAATAAGCGTGTGTGAGGCGCGTAATCCAGCCCCCTATAGCAAATTTGCTTGTTTCGTAAATATCACATTAAGCTAATAAAAATTACCCACTTACACCCTCCCTCCTTACCTAAAAGAATGTATATAATATATCACTATAAATTGAAAGAAAAATTAGTAAAAGTTAATAACTTTTTTAAATAACGACTATAATTCAAAATTTTAAGAAAAAAAGCATTTTAATAAAAAAAATGAAAATCTAAATTATTTTTATAAAAATCTAAAATAGTCAAAGGCCTACAATAAGTGTACCTAAAGATCTCCAATAAAATTTATAAAGAAAACCCCCACCTAATGGGGCTTCCCCCACCCTTAGAAAAATTTGAAGAGCCTATGACGTATGTATATCATTCAATTCAATTTTTAAGGATTCCAATGCTTTTTATACTTATATCATAATATAAAACTCTCATGGTCATGAGATGGTATTACAAAAGTTTTATATTTTCTGAAATATGAAAAAAATTGCTGTAGAAATATAAAAATAGCTAAAAAAAATATTTTGCTAGCCGAAGGCTCGCAAACTTTGACCGGGATTGTTGGTTTAGTTACCCCCCCCCCCCCCCCTATTAATTCTTATAATTACTTTATATAAATATTAAGAAAATCGGTAACGTTTTATCATTTCAAAATAGGTAACACACATGGAAGTGATTAATAATGAATGATGTTGATTTATTATTGGATAAAAATAAAACATAAAATCAAGGTAAGGATAGAAAGAAATTTACAAACTAGATTTTTGAATAAATCTTTAAA